CACTCATTCATCCGATTATGCATTCATTTCACACTCAACACAATCAATTGAACCATTGATTCATACGGTTATCATTTGGTAAGTGTTTGTATCATATATTATATGTATTTTTGTATTCAATTTGTCGTGATTTTCATATAATATTTTGCCATTAAATTGGTTACCAATTCAATACAATTACCGCATGTTTTCATACAATTATCATACAAATGATGTAAATATCGTTATAATCTGATGACATAATGATTAGTTAATTCCTCTAAGAAGTACTGATGTATGCCATGAGTGGACAATGTGTTTGTCTGTGTGTTTGTAATCCATGACTAACTCGTGTTTGATCCCATGCCTAGACGTGAGGGTGCGGTGGAGGTGTGGTGACCAGTGATGTACTTATACAACCTAACCCTCCAGAGGGCGTCTGGTGTGGTGCATGCAGTTCACGGCAGTTTCGCCGGCACTAAGCAGCAGGAGATCGCTGTGGCGAAGGGAAAGGTGTTGGAACTGCTCAGACCTGATGTGAATACCGGCAAAATCCATACATTGCTTTCGGTCGAAGTGTTTGGTGTCATCCGATCGATGCTCACCTTTCGGCTGACGGGCGGCTCTAAAGACTATTTGGTGATCGGATCCGATTCCGGGCGTATCGTTATTCTCGAGTATTTGCCCCAAAAGAATGTCTTCGATAAGGTATGCATTGATTTTGAATGTGCTATGGATTTGAATGCATTTAACTGATGAACAAACCTGTCTGTCCACTGAATATTCGTGTGGATATCATAACCAAATTTACCTCAATTTATATCTGATTTATGCTATAATTTAGTGCAATAGACATGTATTTAGTGAATGTCTAACAGTTGTGTTGATTGGTGTGACTACAGGTGCATCAGGAGACCTTTGGCAAGAGTGGTTGTCGTCGTATAGTTCCCGGACAGTTCTTGGCTACTGATCCCAAAGGACGGGCTGTTATGATAAGTAAGTTTCGTTGGATTTATTATTCATATCTGAGTATATTATGGTATAAACGACCGGTTCTATCGAAATGATGTAATTATTGTTCTCATCATAAATCTAATGATGAATAAAATTCCTCTAAGAAGTACTGATCGATTCAATTGTTAGCTTATTATTAGATATATTTGAAGCCAAATATAGTTAAATTTTTATTATAATTAAATAATGACTAACCATTTGTAACGTATAGGTGCTGTTGAGAAGCAAAAATTGGTTTACATTCTGAATCGCGATGCAAGCGCTCGGCTAACCATATCTTCACCACTCGAGGCCCACAAATCCAACACTT